GATATACTCAGATTTTCCGTAGCTGGAACGGTGTCGCAGAAAATTTGAAAATATTGCTGGAACAATGCAAGAATTTGGTATTCTCTATGGTAAAACCTGCCAAGATACATCGACGAGCGTGTTCCAAATGTTCCATTGATGTTCCAAGTACAACTCGAAGAGTTATATCGAATAGTGTGTTTCGATAGTCTCTGTGAAAATGCATATGAGAAAGTGCGAAAATGCTGGCATGTCAGTAGAGGGAATCTTTCGTTCTGAACAGTGAAAACGGCCGGCACCCTTCCAGGAATAGGTTCCACATGGTTCAATCAGATTCCGAGTACTACTCGATGAGCTGTACCCGATGGTATAATCATATACCCAATAGCTGAAACTACGCTGAGAAAATCGAAACACACGAGTGTGTTTGCGAAGACATCGATGATTGTGGACAGTAAAAGGAGCCGAGATTCTTCCAGGATGTTGTTCCAGTCATCCTACTTATGTTCGAACTGCAATTCGATGAGTGTGGGTGTGGGTGCAGGTTTGGCTGTAGGTGAGAAGAGAATCCAAACGTACATCCACATGCAAAACTGGCACCAACAACCCGTCCACCCATACTCCCACCTATATACCTAACCACATGTAGCAACCCTTATATGCTAATATATTCGTTTTTGACGAGTGTCTGGGTGTAGGTTGAATTCTCGAGAATGCGATAAGACTGTTCTATAGAGATTAAAAAGTTTTGCTTGGATAAAAAGTGGATCATCTGGAATATCTTGCAGGAAGACTCCTCACAAGTTTTACTATTCGGAAACAAAGATTCCTCTGCTCAGACGCTAGTATTTTAGGATTTCCAGGAACGCAATTTCAGCTACAGAAAAACTAAATGCACCATTGCATATAACTCATCGAAATTGACTTTCAACATAAGTGGAACAACTCGAACATCATCCTGGAAGCATCTCGGCTAGTTTTACTGTCCATAATCATCGATTACTTGGCATACCCACTACCATTTTTAGATTTTCTCAGCCTAGTTTCAGCTATCGAGTATATGATAATACCCTTGGTTAGAGTTCATCGAGAGGTACTCGAAATCTGATTGAACCATGTGGAACCTATTCCTGGAACCGTGTTGGCCCTTTTCATTATCCAGAATGAAAGACTTCCTCTGCTGACAAACCAGCATTTTCGAACTTTCTCAGACGCATTTACACATAGAGAGTATCGAAACACACTATTCGATATAACTCTTCGAGTTGTACTTAGAACACCAATGAAACATTTGGGACACGCTCGTCGACGTATCTTCGGAGGTTTTACCATAGAGAATACCAAATTCTTCCATTGCTCCAGCAATATTTTTAAATTTTCTGCGACACCGTTCCAGCTACGGAAAATCTGAGTATATCATTCGATACAGCTTATCGAGTTGTACTTGGAACACTAATGGAACATTTGGAACATATTTCTGGGCGAATCTTGGCGGGTTTTACTGCATAAACTGCCGGATTTTAGTGGTGATACAGTAGTATTCTCAAATTTTCTCAGACTCAATTTGAGTTATGGAAAATCTGAACATGCAATTCGATAGAGCTCGTCTAGTTGTACTTGGAACACGAATGGAACACTTGGAACATGCTCCTG